AATGTCTAGCGATATTAAAAACAACCTTTTAAATCTCCAAAAATATTTGTTAGTTGGGGACACAAGTCCATCATCAACAAAATTCTCAAAAGAAATGCAAAACAAATATCAGAAAAAAAATAGGTCCCCTTTCAAGTTATGACTGGGAAATCTTGAACACATTACATTTAACAGAGGATGAGTTAAGTTCTGCTCTTATATACCAACTGAGGATTATACAGAAGGATTGAAGGCCCTAAAGACTACTGGAAATGGCAATTGTCTTTACAATTCTGTTTCAGTATTGATTCAAGGAGATGAATCTGCAAACCTTATCCTCAGACTATCGGTAAAAAATGTCTTGCACAATAAGTGAGTAATTTATAGACAGTGCTGCATTTTAAGTTAAACTTGCTAACTGCTTTTGTTAATGACAATTTTGAAATATTAGTTTATTAATATAATTTGGCACCTAAAAATTTTCCCTGGTGACTAAACCCAAAGAGCTGATCACTAAATGGCCACTGAACAAAAATTTTAACTTGGAGGATTGTAACTGTATCACAACATGCTAAAATTGTCAGCTTTGAAATAACTTTTGAAGTGCTCAAAGATCGTTGGAAAATATTAGGGCATTTTGCCGCGTATTCTTGGTTTGCAGCCACGAGACAACTGAAGGCGGCCATGTTGAGGGTCAACACAATAGATTTTTTCTTGAATGATGTACATAAAAGTAGAGTTTTGTTCCCAGACGAGAGGAATACTTTTGTTCTTGACCATCAACATGGCCGCTGTGACATCATATGCAAACCAGCAATAGAAAACCAGCAGGACACTCCCATGGGAAATTCAAGGGAGTAACTCCCACCTGCACATTACCCTACTTTGACTAACCTCATCAAAGTTTCAACTTCAATTCTCTCAACACCTTGAAGGTCTTTGAGTTTGTCTTGCACACTAGTTATCTGATCAGGCACCTGATTGGTCAACATCCTTGCCTCTAATTTCACACCTGAGCTCTGGTCTTTTGAATGTTCTAGTGGATCTACTTGCGCACTTCCAAGGCCTGCTGCGAGCCAGTCGTTCACGCCATTCTTCACAGCATCAAATGCTGTGTGTGGAGAAAACAAAGCAATCCTGTTCTCGATCATTTTTATGATGATTCTCTCCTTAAAGGTCTTAGATGTGAGGCGTTTCAAAGGGACAAAAATAGGTGGATGATAAGATATCACCATGCTGACTTTTTTATCGACTGCCTCTTGAGCCACTCTTTCGGTAAGGTCGTTGGTGAGAAGAATAGATTTGACAGAATGTGGAGGGGAAGGCTCGACCAGCAACCCCACGTTGTCCCATTTCTCTGCCAGTTGTAAGGGTGCGAAGATATTTAACTTTGTTACAACCTCTTTAAGTTCCATCGCATTATGATAAAAAGCACTCGAATTAAAGTTCTTAAAGAATCTTTGAACTCTCACAGAAAATTTCGATCTACAATACATGGCTGTGCCGGCTGTGCCCAATCCGCCATATTGAAAAATGAAAAGAGACTGGAGCGAGCTCAATTTTTGGCAGCGGTTTATCCCATTGCACCGTGGCAAGATGGCAGACAAGATGGAGGAGTTTGTTGTTGCAGGGGAAAAATATGGATCGGGAAATCTGGAGAGGAAATATAGGTTCTCAGCGGAAAATGGAAACTTAGAAAGGATAGGAAGGAAGAGGGAAACTGTAGCTACTTCTGTAAAGCAATTCTTTAAGGTAACTTTCTATGGCATGCATGAGTGCTCACTGTACTAATTTCCAGCTTTGAAGTAGGGCGACTTCCCCCTCCCCACCCCTTCTCTTCTGATTTTGAGAGTACTCATTCACCCAATTAGTTGAATCTTTCTCTCTCAAGACTGTTAGTTGGAGTGCACATGTTGCCTAAAGAGCCGAGTTGTTGAAAGGTTTATTAGTGAAAATCCAGATTCACTTACCATGATATGGGGGTGGGGGATTCTTTAGGAATTTGGTGGGTTAAGGGTGCGTCGTTGGGACCCTAGATCCCTTAGCCTATACCAGATCTAGGTCAGCTGAATTTTGCTACACTATACTAGACCTATACTCTATACAGGGGTGACATATATCTGCATCTTTTGCAGTCTGCTTTCCTTCCACAAGGCTACCCTGAGAGTGTCAGCAAAGACTACTTAGAATATCAAGTATGGGACACTATTCAGGTAAGTTACACTATGAATAGGGTCCTCAGTAGCCTTTTGGGATCCTGGATTTGCCCTATTTGAAAGTGGGGGTTTGGATATTAAAGCAAAAATGGGGGCAAGATATGTCATTGAAAGTACGCACAGCATGTGGGTTGCTGAAAAGAGCAATCAGGATCATGCGATTGAGCAAAAATTTGAGTCAGGATGACGGGATTGAAGAACCTCATTGGGGACCCACTATGATTGAGCAGTTGCCTGCCAAGTGCAGAGAGTAACCATGACAACCCTATCCATAACAGGATTACCCCCCACCCCCGTCCTCCCCAGCAGTATGTTGCACCTTAAGGCAGAGCTGAGAGAGACAAAAAGGAACACTCTAAGGTGTTAACTGGCTGACAGTGCTTCAACCAAGACCTTGAGATCTGAAATTCAATTTGTTAGCCATTAGATCACCATAATATTGTTGTGACCACTGGCAAAAATGGTTATCATTTATTTATCTGAGGAGAGATAGACAGGGAGAAAAGAGCTTACATTGTGTAGCAAGTAGAGCAAAATGGCTGACATTATAAGGAGAGCTGTAGCTGCAATTCCAAATGACTAAAGCAGATTACAGTATGAAACTGCTGACCATTAATGTCTTGAGTTTAAATATGCTAAATGGCATAGCCACAAGTGTCTCCACCCACCCCTCTCCCCTTCTTATCACTAGGCACCCTCCCATGATTACTGTCCATTGATCAGCATTTAATGGAGGGAGTCATTGTTGTCTATCGCTCTATCCAGGCATTCTGTTCATCAATAACTGGAACCCTTGCAACCCAAGCAATGTTGAAAGGGTATGGTGTTGGAGATGAAAAAGCCACTGCCCTGGCAGCAACTATGACATGGATCCTGAGAAGTGAGTTTTTATCAGTTATTGCAACAACACTTTGCAAAGAACTGCAAGCAAGCAACTGTGTATATAAGTCACAAGGTGCCCCTGCTAGAGGCATTGGGCCACCCCTAGTATAGCTGGGGAAACGGCTGACCAGCATTGCTTTGAGGTTAACTTTGCCCAAATTACATTTAGCCACATTTAAATAGTGAGATTTTAGAAACTTAGTTCATTACATATGAGATAATGTCTTACTGAGTATTGAGGTGCTTGTGACCAATAACAGTCTTAATGGCATTCAGCTTTAAAATTAATATATAAAATACCAACAGTGTTCACAAACTTCCAACCTATTACTTGGGTAAAAAGCATTTTAAAATTAGTTTCCTTTGCCTTATGAATGTATTGTTTTGTTTTATATTTAGGTGGCACTGGTATGGTAGGAAGTATTATTTTTGCTTGGCTACAAGGGTATGAACTTTTCCTAAGGTGTAGTTAAGTTGCTCTTTGTCAGATAGTGTCAAAAGAGTAGGTCAAATGCAAGGTGTGTGTATTGTAAAGTCTCTGAGTGCAATAAAGGTGCCGTTCAAGAGCGTGGAGCTAAATGAGCTAGCGGCCATTGGACTAGTGTGTTTTACTGCAATTTTCCTAATGGAGAACTAAAGCTTAAATAATTTGTTACCTTTCCTAAAGTCAAAAAAAGTAAAAGTAAATATGGGCTCCATTTCTTCAGTTCATCTTTTTTTGTGGCCAACAGATAAGGTGTTACAGTACATTGATTTTTTCCTCTAAAATTAAAATTTAATTATGCATTACTCAGTTAAAATGTTTATCGCTAACACAAGAGAATCTAGTAGACTCTATACAGCCTTTAAATTTGCCTTTAAATTCATAAAACCTTGACACACCTTCGGGACCTTCATTTTTTAATTCCGTTGATAAAGTTTGTAAAAATTGTGCAATTTTGTGATTGCAATTCAAAAAAGGTGGGCAGATGACAATCATATGGCATATCAGAAGGACAGAATAAATTTACTGATTTATCCTCAATTAATCCACTACAGTTCAAAGTATTAGTATTGTTAATTCAAATATAATTTTTAATGCAGACAATTTAATTTAGTGTCACCATTTTGGGATCCGATAATGGGGATCCGATAACTTTCAATAATAATGCAGAGCACCATAGATAATTTGATAACTGAATACAGCTGAACCTCTCTACAACGACCGCCTTGGGGACAGAAGAAAATAGACATTGCATGTTAAAAGGTAGCCGTTGTAGAGAGGTGGTCATTAGCGGAGGTTCAACTGTATATTTGTACAAACTGTTCATATTAAGGACCAAGTTAACTCTAAATAAATACTGGAAACTTCTCTTTCTAATGATGTTGAAATGAATTCTTGATGAATCCATTTTCATGAAACAAATATTTATTTTAAAAATCTCTCTTGTTAATTCTGTAACCTTTTATCACCATTAAAGTTTCGGACACATGAGCAAACATGAAAACCACAAACTACAGATTATGGTAAATAAGTGGTTGAGTGTTGTCACACTGTATTGGCTTAGACTTTCCATGATTATTTTTATTGCAATATGCTCTCTTGAAGGTGCTTTTGATTAAATTTGCCATTATTTTATTTTTTATCATTAAGGTTGTTTGCTGATATTTTGAATGATGCATCTATACTTGTTGAGATGTTAGCACCATTGTTCAAAGCTTACTTCACCATTTTGGCATGCCTGTCTAGTATATCAAAGGTATATTTCAAAATATTAGTGGGAATGTCTAACCCTGATGAAAAAAATCTCATATTTGTTGCTTGCTTATTTTCATCAAGGTAGCTTTTTCTTGGATCTGGAAGAAAGAAGGTTTTAGTTAATGGGAAAAAGTGTTAGAATGTAGTACAAGCATGCCTTTCAACAGGGCAAGCAAGGGCTCAGTATTTTCTGTGTATTTTATAGTTGCCTTGTTGGATTTTGAAAGCAGAGAATATATGTATTACTATTATATTTTATTGGGATATTGTGGAGAGACTACAGAGAGTGATCAGTTAGGTAGGTATAGGTCTGGATGAGTGAAGAGGGGCAATGGTGGGAGAGGGAATAAAAAAGAAAAGACCAGCATCATTCTACCTGACCAATGGAAGGTGTGGTCACCTATTATGGTTAATGTGCTACACTTCTGATCAAGGGATCCAGGTTTGAGCCCTAGTCAAGATAGCCTCCCCAGCAGACATTCAAGGGAGTTCTTCATGTGTTCCTGCCGGACGAACCCCCAAGAACGTTTGTGTTGGAGGCTATAGTTCTGGTCATTGTGTTGTGTTCTTGGGAGAGACACTTTATACTCTTACAGAGCCTTACTCCACCTAGGTGTATAAGTGGGTGCCAGCAAATTAAATTCTAGGGTAACCTTGCCATGGCCTTGACTAACATCCCATCCAGGGAGGAGTGAAAATATCCCTAGTCGCCTCATGCCATGGAAATAGGATCAGCTCCAGCATAATGGGCCCCTTGCCTTGAATGCAGGCTTAACATTACCCTTTATCATCTCCATGCATGCCAACTTCCTTGCCCTATTTCAGTCACAAACATGACCCAAGTGAATGCTAGTGTATTTGAACCCCTAGAAAGTTTTTTTAAATAGAATTTTTCCTTAGAAGCAGCAGTTTACCAAAATGCGGTATTATTATTTTTCTTGATCTTGGGGCAATAAACATTTGAATTATCAGTTCCAACGTAAAGGAAAACAGTTTTCAGACACCTAATCCCCCTCTCCACTCTTAAAATATAGAACTCATTGATGCGGTAAAGTGATATTGCTCTCTTTCTCTTCGTGGGTTTACCAGTCCATAGTGGGTGTGGCAGGAGGGGCCACAAGAGCTGCCATGACACAGCACCAGGCCAGGAGGGACAATATGGCTGATGTGGCTGCAAAAGATGGAAGTCAGGTGAGATGTGTTATGTTTTTAACTAAAGGTACATGATGGCTATGTTTTGGTTTTATTTTATCTTTACTTAAAATAAATAGATTAAAATAATAAAAAAAGTATTTATCTTCCTCTGTTTCAAATTCATTGCCCATTGGGGGGGGGGTTACTCCCTATTATGTAATGGCCTATATGGGGAGGCTCCGAAGCTTAGGATAGGAATTTCACCAGTTTTCAAGAGGTTCAGGTATATGAAGAGTCTGTAAAAGAACCTAAAAGGCCTAACAGACGCATTTTGTTGCTGTGAAAGGTCAAGAAAAATTCATGGTTTAGTACAGCAGTTAATAGGGATGCAGCGTTATAAACTAGGTATATATGTGAAAGGGGTGCCATTTGTCTAAAGAAGGTATATGAAACATGGTGCCTTTTCTACCAAACTGGTGTGTAAAAGGGTAAGGGGTTGGACCTTAAGGGCGGAGCCTTCCTGAATAAGTTTGTTGGGTAGCCCCACCTCCACCCCAGAATCATTATTGCGCATTGCTATACCCAATGGAACTGAAGTGATGTTTGCCATTGAGAATGCAATGGGCTACGGAAGTAGATAAACTTTGTATTTAAAAGGATTGTAAATTGCTGAATCTTTAGTGACATCCGTGACTTATTGCAAGATAGACAGATTTTTCTAGTCAAAGGATCAAGGAAAACATTTTAAACTTTCTTTTCAAAGGAAACTTTGGTAAACTTGATGGCTCTTATTGCTGGTCTGGTAATAACACCCCTGGTTTCGGGAAATCCTCAGTGAGTATACATTACAAACGTGATAAGTTACTTTATTGACATGAATATGAAACATTTTTATGGAACTCAATGTGTGACAGCAAGTGAAAGCATGGTGCATTCTCATTATTAGTTACCATAATCATATAATTTCCTTGAGATCAGGTAGTTAACTATTATTTGTTTTGTGGCAGTTCACTTTTACCACTCAAAAAATTTTTCATTTCCTCACAGAATATACCTCAATATACAGAAAAGCAATTTTACAAAATAAACATCTTTGACCGCATTTTCAAAGGATGTCTCTGAGCACCTTGTTCTGTATTCCAATAGCCTGCGTCGCAGATGTAAACAAACCCCGGCAGGCTAGTATTCCAACAAAGTAAATGTTCCGAGCCATGTATTCTATCCTTCTTATCTACAATCGCCGACAAAATGAGTTGAGACACTTTGCCCAAAACTGGGCTTTTTTATGTTTTATTAACTTCAAAAGGAGGAAATATAGCTTTCCTCCCCCATCCCCTCCGTGCAATGTTGTGCCCTTGTTCTAGCTACCAATAGAAACCAACAAACACCCCAACTTTGAATGAAGGGGACAGGGGAGGGGTGCGGATTCTTTTGTTCTCCGAAGTTACCCTATTTAAGTATAATGTGTCAACACTTTTGTCGCCGATTGTAGACCATAATTATTAACTTGATGTTGCATTTTTTAAAACTTTGATTTGAATCATGATTATGCTATTTTAATTCTTTCTTCACAGCCTAACATGGTCATTATTTTTCATCTTCACCTTCTTCCATCTTTATGCAAACTTCCGTGCTGTGTCATCTGTCATTATGGAAACAGTTAACTTACCTCGTCTTCACTTACTTGTCACTGAGTTTTTGTCAACAGGCTGCATTATTACTCCAGAGGAAGTGGGCAGTAGAGAACCGGTCATATTTGGTAAGGTGTCTATTTTGTTACTAATGTTTTTGCCACCTTAATTTTCAGTCAGTCTGAAACAGGGAGCAAAGAAAGTCAGTTTCATGACTTGCCATTTAGGCAAGCGGTAGCTACAATCTGTGACATTAGAACTTGGGTCAACTGAATGAATAACACTGACATGTTGTGCATGACCTCTCTTTCCTTTTGCTGTCAATAGTGGCCTCGAACTTAACAAGCCCACCAAAAAACCCTTACAATACAACATTGGAAGAAAGCCAAGACAGGTATCAAAACAGTGTGACCCAAGTTGAGTGTCCTTGATTGTAGCATGTACCAGCCCAAAAGTCATTTCACCTAGCCCCCCAAACAAGTTTTTGATGAGCAGTATTGAGTACAGTTCTTCTGAATTCCCCCAAAAACTTCACGTGGATGTTGAGCAAGTTAAGAACAGAATTCACCAGCCCAACAGCAAAATCCACTATCTGCAGGCTATTTCACACTGATTACTTTCTTCAGACACTGGTCTGAAGTGACTTGCTAAAGAGTTTAAGCCTGCAACGTGCCACTGTCTGAAAATCCGACTAGAAAATGGGCTTACTGTACACTTCATCTTTGTCAGACAAACTTGATGCCATTGCTTCTAGTATGGTGCAATTTCAAAGACATAATTGTATATTCTTCCACTTTTGCAGGATTTAATACAGGAGAGTGTCTTAGAATTCATTTAGGAACAGAGTTTACTTCAGTAGTAAAAAGGTAAAGGTTTTTTGTTATCAGCTTTTACAATGTAGACTATCAATTCAATTCATACAAAACAAATATAAAGTAATTGATTTAGTAGCTAGAATAGGTTATCAAATTTATAGGACAGTTGAAGCACTCACAACTGCAATGAATGTGGGAAAAGGTTTGGTATTGTAGTAAATTTTAAGTCTATAGGCATGAGTTTTGGCACCTTACATATCTAGGAGAAATAAAGGCCTGAAGAGCCTTTGGCTAATTTAAGCTACACACTAACCCCTCCTCCCCCAGAATTTCAAACCCCCCTCTGCAAGAGGGGTATGGAAATTTTCTGAAACTACTAAATGAAAAGAAATCATGTTAACCACCAGCATGAGAATCATAGCAGTACTTTGACATTTTTTCTGACACTTGTATACCCAGAAAATACCAATATTATTGTTTTATAACGAAACTCTTGAGTATGTATTTGATGGAACAGCATGGGCTTGTCATGGACTTGAAACAAAGTGACAAGGGAATGGAGTAACTTAATATCTGAAAAGTAAAGTCTATTGAAATTTTAATTTACATTCTATTTCATTACATCATGGCTTAAAGGACAGATGACCAATATCATCGCGACTAGTTGACCACTCAAATCAATAACCAGAGTTTAATACCATCAACTTACATGATACAACTCACTTTGACTCTGAAGATGACTGCTGCACAGGTTGTCAAAACGTCAGTTACTGTCAACAACGGTCCCATTCAGGACTACGTTCACCCAGACAATCAAACTCAACCTACTTATGAAATGACTCCTGGGTTCAAATCTTTCACAATTCTATTTCAGTGTTAGCGATTTTGATGCAGCATTGCCTAGTTCAAAGGAAAGTAGATATATGATTAAACTTACATTACATCATGGACGGAATTCAGGTATGCAATGACCTCATGTTAAATTCTTCTTTAAATCATGGTAGATATTTCCTTTTAAATATCAGTACAATATTTGGTTAACCATTGAAGTTTCAATTTTGATAAGAAGCTAGATAACAATTAAATGCTGATGTAGTTTGCAGTAAAGTTGAATCCCTCCTTATTGACTGAATGACTTACAGACTGTCTTAAAGACTGACTGACTGACCAAGTTACAAGCATCTCTCTATTACAAAAAGTTCACTTGTTCCCAAAGAGACAACAATTCATCAATATGGACACTACAGACTGTTCCTTTGATTTGTAATTTATGGCTATTTGACTGCACTCTACTCAACCTAAGCATCGCATGTCATTCCACAATTTTAATGATCTGCACTTCACATTATTGGATTAACATATTGTCGGTATTCGTACACTCATTATTTTTTATGACAGAGGATCTTCCACTGAAATTCACTTTGAGGAGTTTAATGACATAGCAGAATAGATTATAATGCTTTTATCAGGGGTGGATCCAGGGCAGGTGGTTTGGGTGGGTGAGCCACCCTCACTCCTGCCCCCCTCCCCAAGCTTGTCCCTCCCCCAACTTAAACCCTAATATCTACATACAAATTTTCCTGACTGATCTCCATACAATTCGTTTGGTGATCGACTTACTTATTCTCATAATCTTTTCTCTAGCCTGTGTACAGACCCTCCCCCCCCCCTTTCCCTCAGGAAAAATCAGAGAAAGGGAGGGGAGTGGGGTCTATACACAGGCTACCTTTTGTCTTGATTATGTATTAATATTAATATTTCTGTCCTGTTAACATAGGTCTAATTCACATAGTGCTACATGAAGATTCTACCGCGATAGATCACCTACAGAGTTGCTTCCAGGCTTGTGCATTAGATTTTGTGATACGCACCCAGCCGAGCTTGAGAAAGGTAATTACGTTAATTGACGAGCTAATGGAACGTTAATGGACAGTGTCCAGTCACTGGTATCCATGACTTAGTTAGCCTGAGAAAACAGCCGATATTTGCGACGCCACCAATGGTTTCTCCGCTCTGTGGAACGAGCGCAGAAATTCAATACTGATGACGCGTCACTACCCAGCGAGCGGCACGACCAATCAGAAGCACTTTATACCCAGATCTGTGTAGTGAACGTCATCAGTAAGGAATTTCTGCGCTCGTATCTCAGACGTCATGTTCGCGGGAAACCAGTGTTGGCGTCGTGAATTGTCGTCTGATTTCTCAAGCTATGACTTAGTGAGATTTAAAAAAACCTGATTCACGTTAAAACGGATGAAGATCGACGATTTTACACCAAACATTAATAGAACTACAGGACAGGCATATAGGGGAGGGAGAGAGCGGCGAAATAAGGAAGAAAATGAGCATTTTACGTCCTCCCCTCTTTTTGCCTTTACCTACGTAGGCTATCAAACGCAAGATACAATATTTCAACTCAATTGTTTTGAGTTTTGGACACTTGTGTTAAGATCGAACGGAATAAATTGAGATTCACTGTCAATATCAATAATTACTTTAAAATGACTAACCGATTGGACATGAACGTACTGATGAAAAAAAAAATCTTTGTTTTGTTACTGATTATTGTTTTCCTCACCGGTAAAAACGAAAAATCTCTAGTTGGGATGGCTTTTTTGAAAACACCTTCTGTTGGTGTAATTTTCATCCGTGTCTTTGTATGACGTTTAGCGAACCTACAAAGCAAGTCCATTTAACCTTTGGTAAATGAGAGAATGAACACGCAGCTCGATGGTTTCAAGTCTATAGCTTACTAGGCGTGTTTCTCTAGAGCAAAACCATGCTGGGCTTAACAGCTTGGTTTTATAAAACCAACGAAAGTACATAACTGATTAGTAACTTGTAAAACATTATTGCGTTCCTATTTTTCCTTTCGTAGGTTTTAACTGACTCAGATGGCAGTCAAAGGGCACTTGAAGCTTTACATAATTTTTGGTGGCAAGGTAAGATCAGAAATCTCTTGCACCTCTTTACAACTGAAGATAGCGGAAGGTTCAGACATTTTGGACAGGGCCCCTCTCCCTAGGATCCGCCATTGATAAGCCCCCATATAGGGTTTGCCGCCGAGGCCTTCAACCCCTGACCCTGTTTAAAACAAAAATCGTAAGACAAGAGACCTAATTTGATGACCATGATTCATTTCTGTGTTGGTAATTGAGGAGTGGTTTTAGAGAATAAAAAACTGATACGAGCTACCTTAAGTGACACAACGTTCATCTTTTTGTCTTACAGAAAGAAGTCAACCAATTGACTGCTCATGGGATTTGGTAGCACTGGCTCATAATTTCACCCTTCATGCTTTCCCAGCATTCGTTCAGGGCCTTGAAGAAGCTGGCTGGGTAACCTCGCGAACACATCTGGGTCCTGATGAGTGGCGCGCTGTTTGGAATGTTAAGGGACTGGAAATTAAGAAAAGTATTTAAAGGTTTCAGTCAGAGCTGCCTTTTAAAAATACGACCGAGAAGTTGAGGAGACCCTTGTAATGTCTTGAAATATTGAAAATATTTTATTTGTAAATAGTTAGAAGAACATTCAATGATTAAAAGAGTTTTACATGTATTGGAATTATTATCATGTTAATTGTGTTCCTTTTCTTTTCGTATGGTTTTTGCCAGTCGTTAGCATGTTTAGCCAAACAGTGTGTGTGTATGTCCACCTATGCCCCCGCTCCCTTACTCCGTATTACAATTCCTGGTAACTGCCTTCAGTTGTTTTCCAAGCATAGCCTCCCGATTACAATACTCGGCTAACTCAGCAATGGAGACGCGACGGCAACGAGAACATCAAATAAGCAGTGCCAGTAAGGTTAAGAAACCAAACAACAACTCTACACGTGTATCACACTCTTTGGTACATTTCTTTGCTAACTCTGTTGGACAAAGAACGGAATTCCTTGATGGAGAGCTTTATGGGGGACGCAAACATATCATGACGATTTTTCTATCTCTTCTTTCCAAACTTGGGTGCGCCCTGCAAGAATTCAGCTCAATGAAAAATCACTTTAACATTTGACCTTTTGAGCTAGTTGGAATAATAGCGACGACATTTGAAAAAAGAGTAATTCAATTAGTCCCTCGGTTGTTAGCCTATTCAGCTCACTGGCGCAGCAGAAGAAATGGAAAACGAAATGGAAAAAACCAACAGGGAAAGTCAGAAGAACAGTATCACCTGTAGTCTGCTACACAGCCGTTTTTAGTGTCGTCACGCAACGCTCCTCCCCACTAAGTGGGGAGGAGCGTTGCGTGACGACACTAAAAACGGCTGTGTAGCAGACTATATCACCTGCAGCCCATCGTATATTTAACTCTCTGGGCATGGACCGCCTAATTATTGCCATAACAGTGGCATCCAATACAGAGAAAAACCTCTTGCCCTGGTATAATGAGTGACACTAATCGCTCCCGTTAAATTTTTTTTTTTGGAAATCTTAAATGGGCGTGAGAAAAAAACGGGGGGCGCGAGGAAGACACGCGTGTTCTTCTTGCGTCCTCTCTTACGCCAGGGGCGTATTTTATTACCCATCACTTTCAAGCGAGTCAAGTGTTCAAATCTCCTGCTTTGTATAATGATCAACTCCCCCCACCCCTCTCCTCCCGGCCAGATCACTGCACATTGCATTGTTTCCTTTAGTACATTATTTTTTATACACCCGGGGAAAGTGTGTAACCCTTAAGCAACGATCAGGGCAGTGTTCACAAAACTCTTCAAAGGCGTGACTCGACTCCACCCACCCTCCACCCATTTTTCAACAATCCTTTGCGCGAGAAGAACTTTGTTCCAGGCCACCTCGGGGAAATTGTTGCATTTGTTTTGAAAACAAAATGGCGGTTTGGGGTGTATCAATATTAAATTCATGATATCTCAAGGTAGATTGACGTTTTACAAAGATGTAATCTTTGTTTCCCAGAAGTAGAACCTGAAGGTAACAAGGTGAGCTGAAGATCGGTGAGAAATGAGCTCAGGTACCGGTGCATGGCTGAAAGCCTCTGGATCGCGTGGGATCAGAAAGCACCAGGGAGCACATCTGGTGCCCGATTTAGGCGTAATGTAAATGAAGAGAGATTTTGTGACGCCTCACACATCACACGACACTGGACATGCGCAAACCGATACGATCTGATAGACGCGACAGAACCATTCGGCTCTGCACTTGCAAATCGCTTTTTAACTCTAGACCTTTTTTGTTTTTGTCTTCCAACCATGTGATGATGTCGTTGTGCACACACTCCGCGGCAAGGCAGTGACCCCGTCTGAAGTTTTCGCTATCATTCCGGAAACAATTGCGACCTTATGACCTAACGATATCATTACGGGCTGAAGAGTTTAAACCGTACGAGCCCAGACCTTTCGTGGTGGTCAGTAAATTGAAAGCTACTGGACTTCCATTGTGCTTTATTGTGAGTTTGTTTTCGCGATTTGTGACTCTTCTCTAATCACAGTTGGGTCAGGTTTTCCGGCTTCTCTTCAAGCATTTTGGCTTCTCGATGCAGCCGAAAGTGCGGTGTGTTGCGTCCACAACTTGCGGTTTCTTCTTTCGCCTACACTGTAATGGATTTGCGTAGCTCCAACTTACTTCAGTTCAGTATATTTTGACACAAAAGCATATCAAATTATCGTAGCGTAGCCGACTTTTGATGTGTAGTTCAGACGCCGATCAACTCCGTAAATTTGAATTATATTTTGATCTTCCCAGGTGGCTTCTAATTTCACGGCAGGACTTTTCCGCGGGTGGCGGGTGGCGGGTGACGGGTGACGGGTGACGGGTGACGGGTGGCGGGTGACGGGTAGCGGGTGGCGGGTGAGGGGTAGCGGGTGGCGGGTGGCGGGTGTCGGGTGGCGGGTTAAAAATATATATGAAAATAAAATATTATAACAAAATATTATTATTGATAATGATATAACTGTATGTTGTAATTTTGAAATTATTTCAACGTTTACGTACTAGTTACCAGACTCCAAATAAAAGTATTGTCTTGTTTTGTTTTATCTACTTACGCGGACTAAAAAGAAATCATGCCTGTGAAAACAGTCACCCCTCCTTGCTCCGCACCGCAAGTGACGTTTCGTCAGGCTACACGCGGTGTGTCAAATGAAAACGGACTATGTCAAGCAAGACACAGGGCACTTGTCGATCTTGTTTGTCTAGTTTGCTTTTTCTTCCACATCAAGACGAAAGATGATTGCACTTCCCCAACTGTTTAGCCGTGTTTATAACAGACTGCAAGAGATTCTATTATTCTACACGATATCGCATGCACGAGATAGCTTGAGGAACTCATAAAAATTAAAGTAATATTTATCCTGCGACCAGACAAGTAAGATCGCATTCTCTTCTCGACATGTTTGAACAGTGTCTCAGATTTTTGACAAGTGCGTTTGTTCTTTTGTTATAAGTTGGGATAAACATTGCATTGCCCGTGGGATAAATCTTTGCCAATTTGGTTCCCGACTTTTAGTTTAAAATGAACAAAATGTCTACTTCGAGAAAACAAGGAAATTTCTTTAAGACTAAAGCAACAAAGCTGTCAATGTTAATGCGTGCCAGAGAAGGAGCAAGAACGTTTTGGACACAGCATGGACCGTTTTCGCCGCATGTGGCGTCTCAGACGCGAATTGATCTCCTTGTATATATATACAAAAAGGATCTGTATTTTTTAAATACTACTCAAAAATACCGATTAGGATGGCAATCATGCCGCATACTAGGGCAAAAACTGAGCTACGACACGGGAGGCCGAATCTCTTGCAGTCTGTTATAAACACGGCTAAACAGTTGGTGAAGTGCAATCATCTTTCACAGGCATGATTTCTCGTTTTTTTTTTCCATTTTTAGTCCGCGTATTAAAGTAGATAAAACAAAACAAGACAATACTTTTATTTGGAGTCTGGTAACTAGTACGTAAACGTTGAAATAATTTCAAAATTACAACATACAGTTATATCATTATCAATAATAATATTTTGTTATAATATTTTATTTTCATATATATTTTTAACCCGCCACCCGCCACCCGCCACCCGCCACCCGCTACCCCTCACCCTCCACCCGCTACCCGTCACCCGCCACCCGTCACCCGTCACCCGCCGCCCGCGGAAAAGTCCTGCCGCTAATTTCATGGTAATTTGTATAATGTTGATTTGCATAATGGGTTTTGTCTGAAATCTTAAAAATTCGTTTACTGTCGTTATAGCCAGAATCTCTTCTTTATACTTTATGAAAATAATGTCAAAAATAGTCTTAAAATATTTTTTTTGCTGTGGAAATCCGCCTTTTATGTAGCAGCATTACAAAAGTTAAAACTTGCAAGAGGTGACAGGCCGCATATCTTCACCGGTGTGAAACCTTTGAAACCTTTTATATATTGCTCCATTGAGGAGACCTCTTTCAGGGGATCTTACAGTTTAAAATTTGAACGATGATATCGCTTCTATATAGCGGACCAAGATACGGCTCGGTACAGTTTATGTTCAGCAAGGGAAAATTTTGTAAGTGGAACTTAACCTTTTAAATGTTCAACAGACAATTTATTCATTGCGCGCGTATTCCTGTTGAATTTGTAGCCCGTTTATGAGATATGTCTACTCAAAAATATAATATTTTTTCCATAAAAACCATGCTTGTAAAACTCACATTTCTTCAGAAAACTAACATGGAGGGCGATAGTGAAGACGCCACTTCTCAGAGCCTGCTCAACATAGAAGCCGAAACCTCTCAGAGCCTGCTTAACACAGAATACGATCAACTGATCGGTAGAGGAGACGAAAATAGCAGCGACAACGAGGACTATGGGCTGACAAGCTACCAACAACCTCCACCACAAGAACCACTAAGGAAGAACGAAGCAAAAAAGAAAAGATTTAAAAAGGAAAGCAAGCGAAGTTCCAACCACCACAACAGCAAAGATAAAGAAAACAGAAGATTCCATAAAACTTGAAAAATCATTTGAAAGGAACACTTGTCCGAAGCCACTTAGATACTCTGCACGGGCCAACATACCGGCAGATGAACAATTTAAAAAAGGACATTAAGGCCATCAAACAGAAAGCCGAGCGCGGTTTTGTCGAAGCCCTAACTAAGTTTCACTACCGTCGGCTAGAAAAACAGAAACAGAAACTACATAAGGAAATGTCCTTAACAAACCGTAAGGGCCGCAAGGACAGCAAAAATGTAAACGTATCTACTACAGAGGATCGTAATGAAATCAAAGCTTTAGCTTCAAAACTAAAAGAGCAATACGAGTACCTTTTGTCAAAACTTAATAGTGACACAGAGAATAAAAATTGTGAAAAGTACTCACAAATGTGAACGACACCGTGGGTGGGTCAAACAAAATTACAGGGAAATCATTCTCTAGAAAAATACAAAGGAAAACTGCCACACGCAAAGAAAGGAGAAAAAAATCTTCCAAGAAAAAAGTCAGTTATCAAACTACTAAAGGGGGAAAATATATTAAGAACCTCTCAAACAGAAAATTAACTGACGCGCAAATTAGTTTAATCTCTCGAGGTCTCAAATTTATACCAGTCAACAAATCTATTAACAGAGACAAAATACGACGACAGTTGCTACGAGATTTTGAAAATTTTGCAAGGCGAATGCGCCTTAAATATATGTTCCACGGAAAAAATAGGGAAGTTCACCCTTTCCACGTTAAATCTGACTGGCACCCACCGGTTCAACCATCAGTAGCCCTCGAGAGTTATCTGGAAGAAGTTAAATCACAACTCGCAGAGATAAAAATAACAAAGCCAAAAAATAACTTGTCAGGCAAGGAACACGAAGCTTTAACAGAATTAAAGCAAAACACAGACATCAACCTTAAAAAAGCGGACAAGGGGAGCACTACAGTAGTCATGAACAAAACCGACAAAATAAGAGAGGGTCAAATACAAATCGAAGACAAACATAACTACAGACCTCTCTCTGAACCCATGGTGAAAGAAACGCACAGCAAGGTCTTGCTCCTAATTACAGATCTTCACCGTGAAAATCATATTGATGACATGACAAGAAAATGGCTATCTCAAACACCTAATCCACCCAGAATACCAGAGTTCTACACTCTAACGAAAATTCACAAGCCAACCATTACAGGGAGACCAATTATCCCCGGCTGCGATGGTCCAACAGAAAGAATTTCCTCTTTTGTTGATACATTACTGCAACCAATATCAAAAATACAGAAATCATACCTTAAAGATATCACCGACTTATTTCAAATTTCAAAATACGCTTGATTGACAGAGGCTACCCACAAACTATGATAGAAAACCTTCTATCAGATATAAAGTTCACAGAGAGGGAGTCTGCTCTCCTGAAACACAACAACAAAGAGGAAAAAGAAATATTGCCTTTCGTGACACAGTACCAGCCCTCAGTGTCTACTTTAAAAGAAGTTTTAATGAAAAACTGGAATCTTATACAAAACCAACCGTTACTTCGCCAAATTTTCAAAGAAGCACCTATCAGTTCCTACAAGAAAGGAAAATCCCTAAAGGACATGCTCGTTAGAGCTAAAATATAAAAGGTTTACACAAGGTTTCACGCCGGTATAGATGTGCGGCCTGTCACCCCTTGCATTTTCTCTTTGGCCTAGTATCAGGCATCCCATAGTTCAGCAACCTAACATTGTACCAGAACGTTCACCCTGTAGTCCTCCAGCGGATTAGAACGCAATTTACGTACGTTCCAATCCTTGCCTTATTCTGTTTATGAATGGCGTTTTCTCCACTGAATCCAATAACCCAGAACTACGAGAAACAACCGTCTCTCATTCAATGGCTTCCGGTGTAAATTTAAAGTTTGTGATCAGAGACAAATCACCCCATTAGCTGAAACATTTTTCACAACCATACTCCTAGTGATGACCAAATCAAGTGTACGATTCCGTCTGTGGGTTGGGGCTGTCACATATACCTCAGGCCGATCGAGACTTGTATTTCTGTCAGGGATGGTTCATTCCTCGTGACTGTTCGGTGGGTAACAGACATACAACGCAATTTCACATGAATTCTGTCGATGAAAACAAACAGTACAATTACTCCGATCCGGTTACTACAAGCTCCCTTACCTTGTGAACTCATACAGGTATGGTCCTGCATCACAGCCTTGCAAGGTTATGGAGGTTGTAATATGAGTTTATGCCGGAACGCAGTTTACAACATAAACCTGTGAGGAGCAACGATTTTTCTGTTAGAATTAAAAAATAAAACCGAAAAGCTCCGGTAATGCCATAGAACTGACCTATTTCCTTAATAGCGAAGTACGCCTGCGCTCACACATGGCCATTTTTGTAAATGTTAATGCCGTACGGAAATACAATTTTGTTGATTGTTTTTTGTTTTGGTTTGTGTACAAAACCTGTGCTGTAACGATCGATTCTAAATATCATTACGGACTTTTCGGTCACGAATGTTGACATCTTTGGTAAAACACAAGTCAGTTTCTAGTTTTTTTTTTCTTTGCTTCTGGTGTTACATAGTGTACGTAGTTCCTTTTTTTTCACCCATATGCCTTTTTAGTGCCCCTTTTGTACTAGGGGAGTCGCTTATTTGTTCAGTGCTGACCGCTGACCGTGGGAAGGGGGAATAGGACTGGTATGTACGCAGAGATCTTCGTTTCATTATTTTACAACTTTTTGCTATTTAATTCTTTAATTTTTCTTTGGAAGACTTTTTTTACCCACTACATTTACCCACACCCACGACCCACGACATTTAGCTACACTGCAAAAATTCATGCGTCCTCCATTTTTGGAACCTGAAATACTGAAAAATATTTGGGTGCAAGTTACAGAAAAAGGAACTGTAATCCATACTAAGTAGAACATGTCTTACATCATTTCTTTTAAAATGCAGCCAATCCGAGCAAGTACTTCACTCTTCATTGATACTTGTGATGCTGTGTGATGCCTTGTTATGCCTTGTGAGCCTTTGATATCCTGTGTGATGCCTTTTGATACCGTATGAGTCCTTGTGTCGTTGTGTGAGGCCTTGTGATGCTGCGTGAGGCCTTGTGATTCTGTGTGATGCCTTGTGATGCTGTGTGATGACTTGTGAGGCCTTGTGATGCTTTGTGATGCTGTGTGATGGCTTGCGATCCTTTGTGATGCTGAGTGACGCCTTGTGAGGCCTTGTGATGTTGTGTGATGCCTTGTGATGCTGTGTGAGGCCTTGTGATGCTGTGTGATGCCTTGTGAGGCCTTGTGATGCTTTGTGATGCTGTGTGATGCCTTGTGAGGCCTTGTGATGCTTTGTGATGCTGTGTGATGCCTTGTGATGCTTTGTGATTCTGAGTGACGCCTTGTGAGGCCTTGTGATGTTGTGTGATGCCTTGTGATGCTGTGTGAGGCCTTGTGATGTTGTGTGATGCCTTGTGAGGCCTTGTGATGCTTTGTGATACCTTGTGATGCCTTGTGAGGCCTTGTGATGCTTTGTGATGCTGTGTGATGCCTTGTGATGCTGTGTGATGGCTTGTGATCCTTTGTGATGCTGAGTGACGCCTTGTGAGGCCTTGTGATGTTGTGTGATGCCTTGTGATGCCTTGTGAGGCCTTGTGATGCTTTGTGATGCTGTGTGATGCTGTGTGATGCTGTGTGATGCCTTGTGATCCTGTGTGATGCTGTGTGATGCCTTGTGATCCTTTGTGATTCTGAGTGACGCCTTGTGAGGCCTTGTGATGTTGTGTAATGCCTTGTGATGCTGTGTGATGCCTTGTGAGGCCTTGTGATGCTGTGTGATGCCTTGTGAGGCCTTGTGATGCTTTGTGATGCTGTGTGATGCCTTGTGATCCTTTGTGATGCTTAGTGACGCCTTGTGAGGCTTTGTGATGTTGTGTGATGCCTTGTGATGCTGTGTGAGGCCTTGTGATGCTGTGTGATGCCTTGTGATGCCTTGTGAGGCCTTGTGATGCTTTGTGATGCTGTGTGATGCCTTGTGAGGCCTTGTGATGCTTTGTGATGCTGTGTGATGCCTTGTGAGGCCTTGTGGTGCTTTGTGATGCCTTGTGAGGCCTTGTGATGCTTTGTGATGCTGTGTGATGCTTTGTGATCCTTTGTGATGCTGAGTGACGCCTTGTGAGGCTTTGTGATGTTGTGTGATGGCTTGTGATCCTTTGTGATTCTGAGTGACGCCTTGTGAGGCCTTGTGATGTTGTGTGATGCCTCGTGATGCTTTGTGATGCCTTGTGATGCCTTGTGTGGTTGTGTGAGGCCTTGTGATGCTGCGTGAGGCCTTGTGATTCTGTGTGATGCCTTCAGTGATGCTGTGTGATTCTGTGTGATGCCTTGTGAGGCCTTGTGATGCTTTGTGATGCCTTGTGCTGTTGTGTGAGGCCTTTTGATGTTGTGTGAGGCCTTGTGATACAGTGTGATACCTTGTGAAACTACGGTGATGTCGTTTGATGTCGTGTGACACTCAGTGTGTTTCCTTGTTACGCCCTGCAATGTCTTGCGACAAGGTTCTCGGCCCATACCTTCTCTGCCGCTGTTGACTACGCAACCGCAGATCAGACAATAATTGGGTTACTCCTCCTCTCGTCTGTGTCGGTTGTGCTGTGTGGTGTGTGATAGATCACAAATTTCATGCGGTCATTACACTCTTCCTAAATCGTGCATGGTATAAGGGAGCACTCAATGTGGCAAAACGCCGACTGTCTACAAGAAACAGATCTAAAGTGGAGAGACTTAGAGAGTACCTAAACGATCTTCATCTAGAAGAGATAGAAACTGCAGCCACAGGTCGTAAAGCCTGTGGAAAGGTTCCAAGATTGCAAGTCGAGTTGCGCGATATTCAAGTCCAAGAAGGAAGTAGCAGTGCTGGGATCTTAGTTCGAAATGATGATGATCCGATTGTAGGAGCTAATCCGATTATTAAGAGAAAAGCTGGTGGAAAGCACAGGAAAATTAGATCAGCGTTAAAGACAGTGAACTTTGATAGTTCTGTTCCAAGTGAAGATAAAAAATCACCAACCTCAGGGATTTGTTTCCAAACCAACAAACACGCACTGATTTCTAAGGGCGCGCTGGACGAAGTATACCCTTCAGACATTTCACAGTCTTCTAGCTGTACAGGAAAAGGAGACAAGTTTCTCTCATCTTTATCATCAGGTCATATGCGCAGGCCAAAACGAAAATCTGACAGAACAATTAAGCATGCGTTTGTTCCTTTAATAGATTTCAATGGAACGAGAGATCAGAATGTGGGTAATGACAGTAACAGAACTCTTGATATTAATGACAATGATAATGTTGATTCAGATATTTCTTGTGATAATGATGATGACAATTTGATGGACAGAGATGAATCTTCACTCTCCCCACCCAACAGTCCACTGTATGACATGCCCCCACCCTCTACCCCTGCTCAGAAAAAGACAAGAAGAGAAAAGCGGAGCATCCAGTTAGAAAGATGGCGGAAATATGAGGCATCAAAGTCTCGACAAGAAAGATACCAGAGACGCATGCAGGAATCGGCCAAAACAGTTCATCAAAATGACTTAGCACAAGACTCAAAGAGGGTAAAGTGGAGTGTTAATTTGGTGCAGACAGTCTACATTGATGACAAAAAACAATGATACAAAATATCAGTATTACTAGTATTACAGTCATGTTCTGTTCAAGGTGCCAGGTACAATACCTCCTAGGTGATGGTCAATAGTGAGGCCCCAGCTGGTAGGGTAAAATTTGGACAAGTGAAATGGACTTGAGAAACAGGGATGTAAGACTGGATAAAAAGTCGACAAATGGCATAAAGATGAGTTTAATACAGACGGGGACATGGCCTACTCCACAAAAAATGTGGAACGGCCATATTTGAGATTCAGACTAGGGATATATGTATCCCCGCCCCCTTAAGAGGACCTCAATACTGTACCACCCACTCTTGAGAGACAGGATTGTAACTAAATGTTAACCTTGTTACTAAGCAACACACTGTGTTACAAAGAATTCTGGAAGCAGTGGTCCCCAGGGCTGTCACTAAGAATTCAAGTGTGCAGGTAAAATAATAAAACATATACAACAAGTAGGCAAATAATCAAACACTGAGTTAGGGAATTCTTTTGGTTTTAACATAGGAAAATAGAAGAATATGTTTCCTGCGAAAACAGCCAGGGGTCACATGTTCCTTGTCGTTCCTCCTTAAGTCGGGAAAAATCCCTGGATCCCGGCCCTTAATGATAGCGCGGTCAATCCAAACCACTTTGTAGTCAAGAAATATCATCACCTCTTGTCACTTCACACAGGTTATAATCACCAGTCGTAATAAATTTACTGACAGTCCTGGGGGCCCTGTTACTTTGAGAAATTTCAATCCTGCTATCCATTAACTATATATAACCATATAATACGTTGTGATATGAGAGAGTAGTGTTTTAAACTATAACAGCTGTAAGGGATATAAACCAAGTTGAAAAAAAAAACATAAGTAATCAGGGGAAACAACCTTTCCACACAGGCAGAACTTACAGAACTGTGGAGAAATTTAAACAACCCATAACTTTGATGTTTATAACTTTAAGCACAATGGTTCCAACATGAACAGTGAATATTATGTTGGGTGTGAACCTCTTTAGCGAGGCTATTATGTTTAGATTTCTGCTGTTATAATTACTCGTCTGGCCGTTGCTTGGTGGTTTATTGTTCAAAATTTTGCTAGTTTTTTATACCGGGTGTACTAGAGTGTTGGACGCTTGACCCTCAAGCTCATGAATCAAATGTTGTTTTGACAGTACTAAAGATGTAAAACAAATTTTTCAGTTGATGAGGACTACAACATTACTTTGGGAACTGTTTTCTGAGTAGGAAATGGGAGGGGGGGTGAGGGCATTAGTTTGAAACTTCTCTCAACGCTCATTAGACTGTCTGGTAACAGACGGTATTGTTATTGTTGAAGAAAAGCAAACAAACTGTTTTGGCTCTAACTCAACCGCAAGTGTGAGCACATACGCATACAGCCAATGTGGGTGTTACAGTCAAACAGGATCAGTTGTGTTCAAAATACTAAACTTCAAAGATATAGCCTTCAAGTAACTCTTAAGTTTAAATTTCCAACAGATATTATGTTGATGATAATGAAATGTATAATAAATGATTTTTATTAAAAATATTATTTTAATCATTTTGTATTGTTTTAGTATTATGTTCTCCAGAACGTTTTCAACAAAGGGTCTGCCCAAAGGCTGGTTTTCCCCAGCAACAAGTCAGACTCATGACCAGAATAACTTACGATCAGGTGAGGTTTTTTTTTATGGGGGGGGGGGGGGGGGGGGGGGTGGGGTGTAAGAGCACTTTTCTAATGTAAACAGCATTCCTATTCTGTTTTCAACTCCATCACTAACAATACGGTGAAGACCACAACAGGCTGTTAAAGTTGTGAAGAGAGGCCGAAGAACACAACGAAAATAAAAAAGTGCTGGAACAGGCATAATTGTGATTTGTTTATTCTTCCTGTTCTGCTCCTGGCTCAGCTTACCTGGTTTTAACTAGACAATAATAATTATTGTTGAAAGTAACAGAGTCATTAGTGGAGTCAGAAAGAAATAGATATATTCATATTCCTTTAACTCTGATTTCTTCATGCTAATGATTCCACTTGACCCCATATTTTGATTTTCAATGGGTCATAAGCACTCTCATGACTGCTTATAACTCACCCAGCCTTAAACTCAAAACATTACATGGTTGCAGTTACATTCAAGTTTTCCCTTTGGTACTGACAATGCAGCTATAATAACATTATTTGCTGGGCAGCAGAAACCTCTCCTAGGATTAGAAAAAATAAGCCTATAATGCTAGTAGGCCTGTTACAAGATGTCAAAAAGAGGAGTATTGGGTTGCATGGCCTCACTACGGCTAGCAATTTGCTGAAATTAGTCTGACATTTCACCTGTCTCCACTCCCTAACCCATAGGGGTGTGGGAAGATAGTTGAACTGTACCCCCCCAAGGGGGTGGGGTTAGTGGGTGGAGAAGGATGACATTTCAGACTAAGAATACATACAAACTCAGGAGTTAGGAGTGTCTCATTTGATAGCACCTCATGAATAATCTTTCTGAACTTTATTTTGAATAAATCAGGTCACCTAAACAAGCTAACTGACAAATAGATTCAGAGTAAAATGGTATTATCAAATTATTTAAACATCTTGTTTCTTTTAAATCTTTAATATTTAACAATAATAGTTTTTCATAAATATATTTTTTAACATCATACTCAAAGTACCTACAACCCTAAAGAAATATCTTAGCACTCAATTTTTTTCACACTATTTTAGCTGTTGACCAGGGAACAATAGAGATTCAATGAACATCTAAAATAACGTAAATACAATATACTGCTATCAAATGAATGTGGTAATGCATGGTGTTATTGTTAAATCTGCATAATTTTTTCCTTCTCAACGGTGATATCCCCTTTTTTCTTGAGACAAAAGCAAACAAGAATAAATTAAATATCCATGATACCATTCTCAAGTTTAGCCCATAAATTTTAGCTGAGGTTTTAATTAAAATAGTCAAATAATAATAACCAACTAGGTTATGGTTTAAATATTTTAGTAAAACAGTAAAGTACCTCTATTTATCATAATTTATGCAACATTTCCAGTAGCTTAATAGACTCTGTTTTTAAGACATTTTTTCCATAGATGCAAAACAATCAATTACCACTGGACAGCATACATGTAAAAATGTACAGACCAATTTCATAGTCAATTATGACAAAATAATTACCTACATCCAACCACAATACAGTGTTTATGCATCTCACTTCTTTCTAAACCTGAACAGTTTACATGGGATCTGTGGGTGCCACATTATTATTTCCCTTGTGCAAATCAGCTAATTACACAGTCGAAAATGCTTGTTTCCACTCTATGAAAAGTGTCCAAGTAACATGGGGTCTGCTTAATACAGGTTTCCCCGTGATCTTACTCAAAGTGCACTCACAGTGTATTTAGACTGCTGATGGCCAAACAGCATACTTTAGCCCTTGCTGATCCGACAAAATGAGACTCACTGGTGACTCCCAGTATTTCATTTCTGTGGATGACATAGTTTAGTTACTTAAAAGAGCACTGGTCAACAAGTTAAAAAGACCAAGAAGCCAATAAAATAAGGTCAGTGCAGTGTAAGACAAATCTTTTAAATGATGTGCACATTTCTGGGGGTTGAGGAACCAAGGAAGTAAATAAGTACAGATTTTGGTGTGATGACTATGAAGGCTCCTCCCTGAAATAGGAGAAGTTGGTAGGCAAACATCCCACAGGTCAGGTAGCGAGCTTAAGTCCGCTTTACAAGATAAACAAAGTTGGAAGTTCCGACAGCTATGACTGGGTGGAGAGAATGCCTGTCATAATCAACAGTATACACAGCACGTGGCAAATCAACAAGGCGTCCAGTTGTCTACGGAAAGAAACAGATACTGAAGTGAACTGTTTTCATTTCTGGGCCTATCGTTAGGTACAAACATGATGAACAAAAGTAGCTATAATTAAATATATATTAGTTGGAGGAGTATAATAATGACAAAAGCGATAATGATGACGATGATGATGATGAGAGCAATATTACATTTTATAAAATAACTGAGATAGTACGCGTGATCTGATTGGTCAAAAACCTATGGTTTATTATACCGGTAAACCCATAGAAAAAGGCATCCGGACCACGCGCCATAAACAAAACCAGCTATTGATCTGCAAACAATGATTTTAGAAAGGCTAAAAAAAAGAACAAGTTACTTACCCAGCCCCTCTTAATATCAAAAGCATTGGTTTCCACATTTTATTACTGCCATAGCTTTAGAAGTAATAAAGTACAAAGCTGGAAAGCAGTTTACATTTCACGACGATGCCAAATCGCTGAGAAAGGCAACAACTGTGTGAATTTCTGGTGTAGAAAGTCTGCAGGAAAACTTGACCATGTGCCAACCAGCAACAAAACGGATAGTTTTAGCATTCTTGATTTATTTTATGTCAAAATTAAATTCCTTAATGACCGCGTGGGTTATCACGCCGGTAAACCCATAGAAAGTGTGGTCTATTGCTTAAGTACACAATCACAATGATGATGACAATGATGATGAAGATGATGATGATGATGATGATGATGAGATCATTATGGCCCACTAAGTTAGATTCCACTATCCAAATTTCCTTGTCCCCTTCTTCACATGTGAAGAATAATTAAAACAGACAATGTTGTACATATGCACTTTCAGCTTTTAACAACTGACAAGCAAACAGACTTTGCTTATGAACAACCAAAGGACTTACTTGAAGTGTGCTTTGATCAACACATCTCATCATGTTGTTGTCGCTACCACCTGCAATAATGTTATCTGGACCTTGCCACTGAGCACAGTACAGCTACAAAGAAATGGGAGGACATCATTAGAAAAGAGAAGCAGTTCCCAAGGTACACAGATTAGGTCATTTTCTGCATGTAGTTAAGGTGAATGAACACTCTCTTTAATACCTTAGTGAGCTTAAGAAAACACATTTTAAGTGACAAATGTTAACAAGAAGTGGACTTTTTGCATTCTTGGGCAGTGGTTTTGTCTAAATTTTCAGGCAAATCTTTTCTATAGCAGTAAAGAATAACTTACCAATACAAATTTTTAGTAGCTGTTCTTAAAGCATCTTAGGCATATAAAGAGGGAAAAGACCTCACAGCTATCTGACATGCATCGCTCAAAAACATCTTTGCTTAAAGGGGCATCGCACTATGCATAAATGGTCCATTTTCAATTCACTTTTAAGAAACCACAAACAGCAAATCTAGAAACTTAAAGCAAAGACATGATATGCACCCAGTTGTTAATTAACATACCATACTGCCATTGTAATCAGATGGCACATTCTTTATGAGCTTCCCTGAACCAGAGTCCCAGATTTGAAGAGTGTTGTCTTTTCTCCATGAACCTGTAAGGATTTGCTGACTGGAACCAGACACACTTACTGACTGGATGTCAAGTGCGTCTCCACAGATGTGAGGTCCAAAGATCTTTCTAATAAGAAAAAAAATAATATTAACCCTTTAAGCACCAATAACCACGCTTCAGATTGATGTCCATACATTTCGTTTAGGAATAAGTTGAGAGAATTTGACAAAAGATCAAATCATTTTCCCTTCAGTGATCATTTTATTAAATGTGACTAAATATCATTTAGGCAAAGTTAAACTCAAGCGATTTGGCCAGCAGTCTTCTCCCAATCCAGTATGTGACCTATAGGGCGGCCCTCGGGAATCGTAGGACTCCTATTATTTTGGCAAGTGTTGCGTTAAGGTAAATTCTTCAGATTAATGCCCATACATTTCCTTTAGGAATTAATTGAGAGAATTTGATAAAAGACCAAATCACCTTCGGTGATCATTTATTAATTCTCATAACCATTTCTCTTGATTATGAATTGGCATTATTAGGAGAAAATTCATGTTGGTTTCTCGAGACAGGTTGAATGACTAACAATGGCAAAAACAAAACAAAACAAATAACATCAAAACACAAGTAGTAGTTAGCGTATTTTTATATGTTGTAGTAAGTACCTCACACTGTGCTTGGTATCAACTCTTGTGTCCCAAAACTGTAAGACAAATTTAAAGCACCAGGATTAAACTTAACAACCTACAAAAAATTTTAGCTAAATTTACAAACAATACTATGCAGATGGAAGACGTTTATTTTCAATGCTTAAAAAAGAGTAAAGAAAAAGTTGTTTAAATTCTCAATATTATGATAAAATCACTATAATTATCTGACATCGATCATCATCATCATCGCTATTTTTTCTAACCATTTGATATTACTACTCTTAATCACTATATAGAGGCTACATTTCTTAAGGTTTATTCACCACACAAATTCAAGATGGACAATAATTATTCTAAGGTATATATTTAAAGTTTCAGGTACTAAGTAATCATCAGACTGCACCACAGGAAACTACAGTAGAAGAAGAGGTTGTGCAGAACAATAATTATTTTATTATGCATTATTTCAAATGAAGTTATCCACTGAATGATACTCTCCAGTGGCCACTTTGTTTTACGTTTTCTATAGGAAATGATATTATTCTAATGTTTGCCGAGCAGCTTGACTATGACAATAACTATATACAAATATAGCATGCAGCTATATAAACTCATCTGTGAACATTCTCATTTAATTCTTATATTTTGTGCTCTCCAGAGTACTACCTCAGGGCTCGAAAAAAACTTGAATTCCAAAGTTAGTTGCTCCAGAAGAAAATCTGCTCGTCCTGAACAACCGGACGGGACTTTTTTTGTCAGCCCTGTACCTAAAAGCAGGCATCAAGGAAGCATTACTAACCTGAACTGTATCATCCCAACCTCCTGATAGGAATTCATGATCCTGGCCTGGGGTGAACTGCACACTGAATACACGGCTCATGTGACCATCCATCACTAGATGTGATGAGCTGTTAAATATTGTATTATGCAGTAAGTAGTAATCAGGGTTCTTAATAAGAGCTGGCGGCCTGTGAAATTTGATGGCTATTTCATGTCAACACTCCACCTACTTTTCTTTGGTGATTATCCTCCAAAAAGCAAAATTTTATTGACATCTGTGTTCTGTTCAAATACTCTAATTTTTGTCCAGTAGCTCAACAACTTCCATGTGCAAAACGATAATAAGAAAGCTAAACATTTTGCTCATTAACCTTTAAACTCTAAATTTATATCAAAATTCAAATTCTCAATCGTTGCTTCTATACATTTATTATATAGCAGTGAGAAGTTGTTAAAAGTATTAATAACATTCATCTTGTGCAATCATGTTCCTAATTCATGTCACCTTTTTGTTTTATAGAGCATTGATATCGTAGGGAGAACTTTGATGCCGATCACTCTCATGGCTTAAAAGGTGACCTTTTGAAATATTTCAAGAAGCACTGATGCAGTACCTTGGTTGAAGGGTGTGGATAATTTGATTGGTTTTTTCATCATACACATTTAACTTTGTGTCTGACCCAGCAGTAACAAATCTGTCCCCTGATGGACTGAATGCACAGGCTAGGATTTGTTTGGAAGGTTCTGTCATCGTTCTCAAACAAGAACTGGTTGATATATGCCATAGTTTGATTTTACCATCAGCATCTACAGATAGCAAAGAGACAGCATAGATGAACATACCACACTGTACAACCATTGAGGGCTATGCCAAATAATAATATGTGACCTTGCTTTATTTACTGTGCTTTTCACAAACATGCAAATTCTAAGTTCAAAAGCCAACTGACAATTGCGTTTTTCACTGCCGTCAATCATCTTAACGGACCTCTTAGGAAACAAAACTTTACTTAACGGGTTCAAAAGCTCATGGATTGTGATTTCTGATTGGTGGATTTGGATCCGTTTTGTGAGTTTCTGTGTTTCAAGGTTCATTGCTTGTGATTGTAATTTTTATGATTGACGGCAATGAAAAACGCAATTGTGAAGGCAGCTTTTGAACTTTAGAGTTCGCATGTTTGTGAAAAGCGCAGTAAGTGATACTGTTAACAATGATGATGATGATGAAAAAGACGATGATAATGTTGGTGATGATGATGATGACGCTGATGGAATGATGACGTTGACAAGATGAGACTCTCACTTTATATTCAAATACTGTATCCTTGCATATCGGTCAGGATGGGGGATTTTCAAGAAAAATTGGGCCAATCCTGACAAGGTCGGGAAGGTGCTTGGACAATCCATAAAGGTCCACATGAGGATTAAGCCCACACACTTCCCCTTTGAAATCCTGCCAACTTAAAGTTAAAACCTCTATGGTACTACCTGAGAGCTCTCAACCCTGTGGGCAAATGTACGTAATTACGGACTCTAGAGAAAACTGTAGGGGGCCCTAAAGCAGTAAACATAAGAAATTCAGGGTGCCCAGTAACTATTCTAAGGAGCAAAGATTAAGAAGGCTGACTGTTGTGCAATGGCAAAGAAAGTCATGTTAGTGCACTCGGGAAGTGTTGGAGCAAAATGTATCAGTTATGTTTAATAAAAAAAAAACAGTTGACCCTTAAGTATTGTTAGAGTATCTGAAAGTGATGTTACACGAGACGATTCACCACAATGATTTTTAACCCAACACAGCACTGCAAAAGTGTTGCGACATTGTTTTGAATCCTTACAACATTGTTCCAACATTGCAACGCTGTGCTGTGCTAAAAATCGTTGTTGCGAATCGTCCCGTGTAACATCACCATAAGGCTGCTTAGACTTTTTTTTTTTTAATGGCGGAGCAATTTTGACAGGAGCTGGCTCAGCAGAGCTGAGAGGTCTATGATTGATTTCAAAAGGAAACAATTATAACATGTATAACTTTTGTTCAGCTTTGTGTAATTGATAATAGCGGGTGACACTCTAATCTGCATAAGAATGAAAACTGGGTAATTTTTACTTGCATTAGCGAACAAAACAAATGTCCGAAACTGCGACTATTGTTTTGAAATGGTCAATGTAAACAGTGCACGATCATTTTAAGGATTAACATAAATGACAAACTGTTCCTTGCAATGTAGATTCATCAAAAAAAAAAAAATCGCACTTCTCACGCTACACTACACGCGCTTGTAGAGTGGGCAGTAGGTTATAGCCTGGTTGATCGTAAAAACCATAACGCAGCATGTTGTTAGAATGAAAACTCACAGGTCGCTAGCAAAATATTTCCGTAACTATCTGTATCTGCTCTCGACTTCCAGCGAAGACAAGTGACTGGGAGATGACTGTTAAGTGTATCTTGATCGGAAAGGCTGTAGACGCAATGACCAGTATCAGGAGCATAAATCTGGAATAAAACAGATAAAATGCTGGGATTTTTTCGCGTTGCATGTTGCTAAAATTAGAGCCACACAAAAGTTAGCATATCAGAGTCGTGAAATACATCTGCTTTATAACGAAGATTCACAATCAAGGGAGTAAAACATTTCATAGAATCTGTTATGAAAATACTAAAAAATACATATCAATCGATGAAAAAAATAGGATTGAGTGTTCCAGCACCTTAGTAACGCCGTTCGCCAAGCCAACAGCCAGCAAACTGCCTTCGGGGTTGAATCGACAGCACATCACCTCGGAATTAGTCTCTCTGTGTTAAATAAATAACGATATCTTTAGAATGAGCAGCAATTAATAAAACAACAAAATTTAGTAGCCCTTCGACTGTTAGCACAATATTCAGCTAATGAAGCTCGAAAAATGACACGGACAAAGCTTACAAAATGTTCAAGATCTTGAGATTGCCCTCTGCAGCGGGGGCCATGGCCGGAGTAGGATCGACCACAACTTCGCGAGGTGTTGAAGTTGTCGACAGCGGTGCTTGAACTAAGTACATGGCTGGAAAATTATCTATTATCAAACATATGCCCAGGTGTTTGAGCTGTCTAGCGTCCCATTGGAACAGAAGTAAAATAGCTGCCTAAAACGTCCAGACTGTCATCCCCCAAAAAACGAGTAACTGATGCGCGTGCGCACAAGTGGAAGCGGGAAATGTAACCATGGCAACGAAATAGAAGTACAGACCTTGCAGTAAATATTCTGACAATCATGAAATGCTTTTAAGTCATTTTTGCAGCGTAAAAATTATATCGAAAAAAACTCTCAAAATATCGTAATGGCAAAAGAGAAAACCACCAAAGAAACAACATTTTAAAACACCAAAGCATGACCCTATCAACTCTTGTTCCTCCATGCCTAGCCTGTGCCAGCCAAGGCTGTCAGAGAGACAGCGCGAAAATAAAACAGGCAAAGCGAAAATAAGACGCTCGTATCACTACTTTAGTGAACTTACGCAACAAGACTGGAGAGGAAAGAAGACGGCAAACCTCGTGTGACAAGCGTGACAATAATTTTGTCTGAAACAACTTTTAGCCAAACTTCACTTTTCCTTCAAACAGATATTTTTGTCACAAAGAAACAGGTGTTTTTTCGTCCTCTTCCTCCTCCTATTAGGCTGATTTAGCAATGGAACGGGAACGTTATTTGACGTCGGGAAAGCGCGCTGTAAGGACTAAACTCGACTTCCGGTGCCTAATTTGCCGCTCTGCCATTGGTCAAGCCAGTTGTTTGATTTGCACGCGCCGTCGTCAACTGACGTTCCCCTTCTGTTGCTAAATCAGCCTATTTATTACTGTACGACTGCACTACTATAGTTGGAGCCTGGAACAGACTACTCCCGGGCCCCGGCCTTACGGCGCCCTCTGGTGAAAAGAATGATGATGATGATAACGATGATGATGATGATGATGATGATGATGATGATGATGGTGATGATGATGTTAAAGATGATGTTATTGAACATGATGATGATGAATGTGATACCGGATGATACTTGCAATAACCTTTACTCTTTTCTCAGTCTCGTAATCATTACATAAATGTCACATATTACTACTTATATAAGGATGGGTTGCAATATGCAAATGTGACACTCACTCCCCAGGGTTTGTAGACCATCTTCGGTTTCGAAGTCGAGAGACTTTGCTGCCCGATATGAAAATGATTGTCTTTGGCTCTTTGCGCTGAAGTGTGGAATGAAATATCTCTCCACACGAGAAGAGAAATTTCGTACAGTCTTCAAGCGGTCATGTAATATCCTCTATTTATTATTATATAACCATCAGTGCAACACCAAACCATTTTACTGAAAAAGAAAAGCGCGATTTAAATTACGTAACCATAGAAACGGTCGTCGTTTCTCGTGTGAAGATAAGAGTGTCAATATTTCTTCTTTACTTGTATTCTTCTTGTGGCTTTAATATGAACCCTATTTCAACTGCTCACTCACTAAATTTCAAGAAAAACAACGACAAAAAAAGGAAACGTTTGTAGGCAGGCTATTTTTAGACCGTGCAAAGTCCCCTATTTTTCCGTAAGACAGTCGAGATCGAGCGCTTTGCGTTGAGGGCGACCATCTTGGCCCCCTCAGTAACCTAGTCGGTGCATTTGAGACCAAGATGGCCGCCCGTACATAGCAAATGTTGGCTACAAAAAACATTCGGATTCATGGTTTTACCTAGAAATATGCCTGCATTAAACATGGGCTACTAGGAAAAACTGTTTGAATGCAGAAGTCAACGCAATGCGTAAATATAATGGCCTGCAATAAGTCAGCCCTCTGCTATCGTGCCAGCCCGGCATTCAATTTTGTTTTATGAGCTACTGGTTACGAGCTGACTGAGTGATGATCCTATTTGGACCGACAGGGGTTCAGGTGCCCGTATGGACGGCTCCCTCTGGCAAGTCGAAAATGGAGAGTCACCCCAGGTTTGGTTTGGCGGGTTTTTTAAGGCACATTCCAACTACATGAGACCCGACTCTCTAGCTTATGTTCATTGTAACAACTTTAACTAAGCTAAAACGAGTTGAGACACTTCCATAAAATGGCACTCTTCTTGCATCGTAGACATCTCTATCCCCTCAGCTCATCCTTTGTGCCCCTATACCATCCCTCCGAAATCAAAGTTTTATTTTAAACCCTCAAGCCTTTCCTTACTGAGTACAAACAACAAGATTGATTCGGGGGTGGGGGAATTTGCAGCCTTTAAACAGCGTCGTATAAGAAATGAAAGAAATTTTTGATGAAAGAGCGCGTTTTAGACAATCTAGTGTGTACACTACTTTTGTCCCTGATAGACCTATTCGGCTAACGCAATGTTGTACGCAACTCAAACCCTTTGAGGATAAAAGGTTTTTTTTCAGGAATTTCCATATCATTTACATGTGAATGCCACAGTAAAATGCAAACACAATACACAAAGAATCTTAACCCCGGTGCTCTGTTCCTCGAAGATGGTTAAGTTTAACCCAGGATTTAGCCAAATTTTAAGGTTTTCTTGTATAAGAACATGCGACTCGAGTTTACAAAAGCTGTTGAGCCTTTGCTACGAGATAAGGTAATAATTACACAAAATGTTACTCTAAGCAACACATAGGAAGGTAAAATACAAAAACGGAAAAAAATTTTAATCCTGGATTAGCGCTAATCGGCCTTTCAGGAACCGGACCCGGGAGATTTGAATTGGGTACAATACTGCGTTAGCCGAATAGTTCTATTGTAGTAGTTGTATCTGCATAACCTATATTACATAAAGTATCCGAATAGCACAATCCATAATTACCAGTATTAATTGCCATTAAATTAGTTGAAACGGATATGGTTGCGCATACAAGCACGATGCACCGATACAATGATTGTAACCCTACACCATCCCACGCCCCACTCAGTTAACTGGTTGAGGAAAATTTCTAGCCTCAGTTAGTGCCTGAAAAAAAATGTTGAGTTTTCTCTTCTGAATTGTGTGATACGAAGCCTCCTTCACCCTCCCTCCCTAAAAAATAATCGCGGCGAGGATCGGGAAGAAGTAACCTGCCAAGACTCTTTAATGAACAGCAATGTTGAAACAGGGAGCAGCGAGTTGTTTTGAAGTTTAATTGACCCTGACAGCTTAGAAACTGGAGTATCCGTTTAACATAAGTCATAACTGACCGTTATTTTTGCTCGAAATTTTACTTTTAATGCCATGTTGTTTTGCAGAAGACGCCAGTGAAATGTACAAAAGTTTTTTTTAAGTACGTGCATTTGAAATAACTCATTAAGCCTGTATTGTTTTGAAAACACGGTAATCGTTGAGAAAAAATCCTCATCCTAGTTTCTTAGAGCAAAAATGATCCACGATCTTTCAGTAGTCTTTTCAAAAACATTTGTAGATACCTCAACTGAGGTAAACGGGACTGTCAGTAAACGGGGTGTTTCTTTGACTAGACCGTGGCCTAAATATATCCTTGCTGGTTAACTGATTGACACCTGCCAAAAAAAGAAGACGCAGGAAACCAATCAAATTGAGCAAACTAATCACGTGGCTGCCTTCGCGCCTGACTCAATTTTTTTTTGAAAGCTTCTTGCCACTCGGATCAAAAAAGTGTGAAGAAACGATATGTTACGAAAACTTGGGAGCATAAAGGAGAGAAAACGGGCTTTATAGCTTGTTTTGTCCACCAGTGTGATTGCTGAAAGAAGGAAAATCCTAAGAAAAAACGTAAAGACCACCCAAGAAGACTTTTAAAAGAAAGAAAATTCTAAAAAAGGTGAGTGTCTTAACTTTGCAAAGTTCTTGTTAAGTTGCAATTCAAAGGGAAACGTGTGACCAAAAACCCATTATTTCGTCGCACAATGAAGTTGTTTTCTCACATATTTAAATTTACTGAACACAGTAGCATGAATTTTAATTGTTTTCTTTTTAGAAATTTTAAGTGGAAGCGAAAGAATTGTAAACAAGACAGGTACGCTTTTTTATAACCACACGACTTCGCGCGTGGCGAGAAAGTAAGAGGTAAGACTTGTTTACCTATTTTTCATTACAAAAATATCATATTCCTCTTAGCTTTGTGCTCAAATAACTCGAAGAAACTATTTAATATTTACTTAGCAGTATTTTTAAGACGACGAGGCAAACATAAAGTAGTTAAAAACACTTCAAAACATAAGCAGCATTTCGCGTTTTTCCCCACTGTGCAAAAAAGTCAGTTTATAGCAAGCCAGTTATTTAACACCAAAGCAAAAAACGTTTATCAGAAAAAAAATACTTGAATTTAGTTTCGTCAGTTGAAAGAAATTATATGGAAAAAGGAAAGTGCGCTAATGTTTTTGACCTTGATATTTTCTCGCCTGAAGTTTTCTTGCAACTATTAAACATCAAAGTTTTTAGTGTGGTAAAGCGGCGCCGTTTCGTTAAAAGTTGCCGCTCTCGGTGACATTTTCTTTAAACTCCTTTTGCTAAAAGAACAGCTATGTTACGAGGAAAATGCACATTTTACACAGTGGTCAAAATTTATTTACTTTCATTTTTGGCCAGTTTGGTATAAAACACGGAAAGAAACAAAGCAATTGCACGGTGAGAAATTTTAGTGCTGCATTTTCACAAATATAAGCAGCCGCAACATTCATTTTCAAGGCTGGAAGCTTGACGAGTCGTCAAATATTACAGTTTCTACAATTAATGAAAAGGCAAAGAAATCACCGTTACGAATCTTAACAATTTCATTTTAGAACAATGTTTTTATGCGAAACTTCACCTTTCCCTTTGACCAACTTTGCCTTCAATTAGGTTAACTTTTCTTCGGCTCCTTTTTAGCTTTTATTTAAACCCTACATGAATATCAGTGGATACCTATCCCACAAATAGTTTATAAACAATAGCTTAGATTCGAGGGTTGTTTATTTAGTTAGCAGCATTAAATCATTGGAACAAATATGTATAGAGAGATGAGCAGGTTGTGTAAAACAGAAAATATGAAGGTGTTATTACGCGCGAGTAAATTATCGATTTTTTCGTAATGCCGTTTTGGCCTGAACATTGAAATTATTTCCGAAAAATATTTCTTCCGGTTATATTTTGCTCTTTCTTTACTGAGCATATATGAGGCTGACTTGCCTAGAGGATAACTGAAGTTCCCCCACAAATC